GGTGGCAGCGGTCATCGGGGGCCTGCCGGGCACGGGGCGGACGCTGACCTAGGAACGAGCCGAGGACCGAAAGCCGTGGGGGCGAGGCAGGTGGATGGGACCCGAGTGGAAGGCAGACCCGGGAGGTGGGTGCAGAGTCGGCTGGGCTGCTCTGCTCCGGAGTTGAAGCCTTCCGCGGGGTCTGACGGGGCTGGGCGGGGCCTCCTAAGACGCCTTGGGTGTCGGGCGGTTCTGTGTTCTCTCCCTTTGGAGGAGCCACCTCGTTTGCTTGTGTTCCTTCCGGTCAGTTTGTTTTTCTCTTGAGAGGAGAGCAGAGGAAGCAGGTTATGAAAGATTTCCTCTTCTGATGCTGGGTGGGGGGGCAGATGCCTGATGTTTGGGGGCTGGGTGACAGAGGATGTGACTACTTGCAGCCTTGATAGGCAACTTTCTACCTGCTGGTCATCCGCCTGACCCACGTGTGCTCTGTAACCGCGGGGGGGGGCCTGTGTGCGTTGGAACCTACATTACTGTCACGGCATTACTGTTTCCTTGATGGCTTTTGCCAGGTTTTTAACATCCATTGTTTGGGTGCAGAGATAAAACACACGTAGCCCCCTGGAGGGTAGAAACAGGGGGTGATGAATTCCTGAGGGTGACACGCTACACTGGTCAGGGGACAGTCAGGAGTTGGCTGCTTCTCGGTTGGGGTTGGTCACAGGGGAGGTACTTTGCTTGTGGAAGGTGGCATCAAATGGGGAGTTGAATCTGGCAAGGCTGGGGTGTCATGGCTGGACCCTGGGGCCCTGTGTGACGTGACAGGCAGAGGTCTGGAGACTTGCACGCCGCAACCCTGCGTGTTCAGTTCTTCTCCCTCCTTAGGGAGCCTGTGCCCCCTGCTCACCCCTTATGCCCACAGCCTTTTTTCCGGCTGCTGAATCTTCGCAAGCTGGGCCTCAGTGACAATGAGATCCAGCGGTTGCCGCCTGAAGTCGCCAACTTCATGCAGCTGGTGGAGTTGGATGTGTCCCGAAATGGTAGGCAGGGGAGAGAGGTGGGAGGAGGGCTGGAGGATCTGAGGAGTTTCGAAGGCAATGCTTCTCCACAGATATTCCTGAGATACCAGAAAGCATCAAGTTCTGCAAGGCTCTAGAGATCGCGGACTTCAGCGGAAACCCCTTGTCCAGGTGGGTGGTGACCCAAGGTGGTAGTGGACAGGGGGATGTCCGCCAGCCGCTCTCTGGGTGTCTGAGATGCCCGGCTTTCTTTCCCCAGGCTCCCCGACGGCTTCACGCAGCTGCGCAGCCTGGCTCACCTGGCCCTGAATGACGTGTCCCTGCAGGCCTTGCCTGGGGACGTGGGCAAGTGGGTGCCCGCGTGGTGACAGGGTCTGGGTAGGGCTTGGCTCAGGCCTTCCTTCCTCAGCCTGTGCCCCTGGTCTTTTTTCAGCTTGGCTAACTTGGTGACCCTGGAGCTCCGGGAGAACCTGCTCAAGTCTCTGCCTGCGTGAGTGTGCGGGGCTCCGCCTAGCCCAGGGTGGAGCTGTGCTGGGGCCGGCACCGCCTGGCCACATCGAGCCTGTCTCCTCCTCAGGTCCCTGTCGTTCCTGGTTAAGCTGGAACAGCTGGATCTGGGAGGCAATGACCTGGAGGTGCTGGTAGGCATGGGCTGTGGGGAAGGGAGGAGGCGGGGCCGCTGCTCCTGGAGGGCAGAGCATCACACTGGTTCCTCTGGCCCCCTTCCTCTCTGCAGCCTGACACGCTGGGGGCTCTGCCCAACCTGCGGGAGCTGTGGCTGGACCGTAACCAGCTATCCTCGCTGCCTCCGGTGAGTGGGGGCAGGCCCGCCTCCACCTCCAGCCGCCGCCCCCTGACCCTCTACCTGTTCAACCCCACAGGAGCTCGGGAACCTGCGGCGTCTGGTGTGCCTGGATGTTTCGGAGAACCGTCTGGAGGAGCTTCCTGTGGAGCTGGGTGGACTGGCCTTGCTCACAGACTTGCTGCTTTCCCAGAACCTGCTCCAGCGGCTGCCAGATGGCATTGGTCAGTGTTCCGAGCTGGAGCTGGGGGCTGCACATCCTGGCTGGGGGCATCCTGAGGATGGGAGGTTGAATACTGGGCCTGTGAGAGCCGGAGGCCCCGGGTCAGATGTGCAGGGGTTGGGCAGCACAGATCTGTGGCAGCAGGGGGGACAGGGCGGGGGAGTGTGCCACTCTGAAGACCCATCTCGACTCAGGGGTGGCCCACCCAATGTGGGTCTGCTCCTGGCCCTGCTCAGTGTGTTCGTCATGTCTTCTTGACATCAGGTCAGCTAAAGCAGCTGTCTATCCTGAAGGTGGACCAGAACCGGCTGTGTGAGGTGACAGAGGCCATCGGAGACTGTGAAAACCTCTCTGAGCTGATCCTCACGGAGAACTTGCTCACGGTGGGTGGGCAGCACCGGGGTGGTGGCCTTCAGTCGGCGTGGGGACAGGAGCCAAAGCGTCCATGGGTGTGGCGTGGCCTGTGCAGACTGCTCGGGAAGGAGGGCAAGGCGGGGGTCTGTGAGCCAGGGCGGGGCCTGGTGCGCAGGATGGCACAGGAAAGCCAAGGAGAGCAGGCCCACGTGTAGAGAGCGTGAGTGGGGGGCAGGAGGGGTGCTTCCATTGGCCGTGCTGGCCAGGGAGCGCAGAGCCTGTGGGGTTGGAGTTGGGGTGGCCGTGGTGATTCCAGGGAGCTAGGCTCTGCATGTGGGCAGCGTCTGTGGGACCCAGCAGCGTGAGGGGGAGGCCTGGGGACAGAAGGGTGCGTTGCATGGAGCCAGAGCTGGCGGGTCATCGGGCTCTCGGGCACCCAGCCTGGAGGTCAAAGCCAGAAGCATCTAAGGAGCAGACTGGAGATGGCGTGGCGGGGATCTCGTCCAGCAGGGGTGCCTTGGCCTTGGAGCAGGGGAGGACACGGGCTGCGGTCACTGTGGGTCACTGTGGGAAGCCCTGACCAGCACCAGCTCCCCCTCCCTCCCCCCCAGCCGCGGGGGTTTCGGACAACCTCCGTCCCTTTCTCCTGGCCAGGCGCTGCCCCACTCTCTGGGCAGGTTGACCAAGCTTACCAACCTCAACGTGGACCGGAACCACCTGGAAGCCCTGCCCCCTGAGATTGGGGGCTGTGTGGCGCTCAGCGTCCTCTCCTTAAGGGACAACCGCCTGGCCGTGCTGCCGCCCGAGCTCGCCCACACGGCCGAGCTGCACGTGCTTGACGTGGCTGGAAACCGGTGAGCGCGGTGGCCAGCGTGTGTCTGCACCGACCGGGCGCGGGGACCTGGCCGGGGTTGGTGCGCACTGACCCTGCCCTCCTGCCCAGGCTCCGGAGCCTGCCGTTCGCGCTCACCCACCTCAACCTCAAGGCCCTGTGGCTGGCCGAGAACCAGGCGCAGCCCATGCTCCGATTCCAGACCGAGGACGATGTTCAGACGGGAGAGAAAGTGCTCACCTGCTACCTGCTGCCGCAGCAGCCCCTGCCCAGTCTGGGTATCCGGCCGGTGGATGCGCCCGGGCGGGCGGGGCCCGGGGGGTGGCAGGGGTTGGCGCGCTCCTGACCCCCGTTTCGCACAGAGGAAGCGGGGCCGCAGCGCAGCCCCGCGGAGGGCCATGGCGAGGCCCCGCCGGCGCGGGTCAGCGTCATCCAGTTCCTAGACCCCGACGGGGACGCGGATGCGGAGGAGGCTGCGGTGAAGCGGGTACGCAGGGGTGGGGCCCCTGGGCGGTGCGCCTCGGCCCACCCCTCCCTCACCCCTTCCATTCCCGTCCCTCATCCCTGTGACCCTGCAGGGCTTGCAGCGCCGGGCCACGCCTCACCCCAGTGAGCTCAAAGTGATGAAGAGGGGCATCGAGGAGCGCCGGAGCGAGGCCTACACCTGCAGGCCCGACGCGGGGCCTCCCTCGCCTTCCGAGGAGGTGGGCTGCGGACCCCGGCCCTTCCTTCCCGACTGCATGGTGCACGTGGGAGGGGCAGGGCATGCCGAGGGCTGTAGGGCACTGTGTCCTGTGGCCAGAGGGCCTCGCATTCTCCCCAGACACTATCGGTGGCTGGCAGGGGGGAGCAGGGCAGTCTGCTCATTTGGAAGCTTTTGACATCAGGACCTGGGGCGCTTTTGGAAGTGTGGGTGCCACAGGACCCATGGACTAGAGGGGCTGGGCATGCACGCCTTGTGTCTCGACCAGCCCTCGGCCGGGGTGGGGTTCCGCAGGCCGCCCTGGCTGCCGCGTGCCTCGGGGCAGGCCCCAGCCTGGTGTGCCCGTGGCTTCTCAGGCTGGGGAGCTGAGGGGCCGCAGGCCGGAGCCTCCACACAGCCTGCTGCTGCTTCCCCCACAGGAGAAGCGGCTGAGCGCAGAGTCCGCCTTGAGCGGAGGCTCTGGCCCGGCCACCAGCACGGCCTCGGAGGGGGAGCCCGAGGGCCCCCTGGAGCCTGTGCCCGAGCTGGGCCAGCAGGAAGCCATGTCTCCGGGGCAGGAGGAGGACACGGAGGAGGGCTACGAGGAGGTGAGGCCTGGCAGGTAAAGGGAAGAGGCCAGGGCGGGGCTGCGCACCTGCACCCAGCCCAGCGTGCGAGGCCACAGCAGAGGCGCTGGTGTGGGTCGCGCAAGCGTGGGGGGCAGGACCGGGGTGGGGGTGCGCCACCTGCCACCTGCTCCCCTCCTCCGTTGACTGTGGGCGCTTCCTGCCAGAGGCCCCGCCAGCCTCGGCCTTTCTGTGTCCCTGGCCGCCCGAGTCTTGGGCACGGTGGCTCCAGGTCTCAGCCCCTGCTGCCGCGGCCTGGCTGACCACCTGCTCCTTACACCTCACAGCCCACAGTACACTTCGCAGAGGACACGCTGCTGCCCAGGGAGGATGGCGAAAGCGAGGAGGGACACCCCGAGGCCGCCTGGCCCCTGCCAGGCGGGCGGCAGCGTCTCATCCGGAAGGACACGCCCCACTACAAGAAGCACTTCAAGATCTCCAGGCTTCCACAGCCCGAGGCCGTGGTGGCCCTGCTGCAGGGGACACAGCCGGTCAGGGAGGGCCCCATGGGGCCTGGAGGCTGGCACAACGGCCCCCGGGCGCCCTGGGCACCTCAGGCCCAGGAGGAGGAGGAGGAGGAGGAGGAGGACAGGGCTGAGGAGGAGGGCGAGGCCACCACGGAGGAGGAGGACAAGGAAGAGGCCGCGGCTTCTGCCCCCTCTGTCAAGGTGGGTGTCCCGCCCCTGCCCGTGCTACTGTAGAGAGTGAGTCTCAGGCCCGGGCCTGCCGCCTCTCGAGCCTTGAGCCACAGCTGCCTGGGGAAGGGCTGTGGGCATGTCCGCACCCGAGACCACCCCTGCGCGCTCCCCGCTGCCTCTTAGACCCCTGGCGCTGACTGTGCTTGGAGCTCGTGGTAGCTTCGTGGGCCAACAGCCACCTGGTGGGCTGGCAGGCCAGGCGGGGCCTTGCTCCACGGGGCCAGGCGCACCCAGGGTGCCGGGCCAGGGTCCCCTCCGCCGCCGCAGCTACTGGCTCTGGCCGGGTCTCCCCTCGTGTCCCGATCAGCCCTGCCGCTGACCCGTGGCTTGACCCAGGGACTGGCAGGCTCTCCCCAACTGCAGGCAAATTGGGGGGACACTCAAGTTTGCACTGCCGGCTCACAGAGGACCCTGCTGAGCACGGAGGGCGCCCTGGTACCTCCCTTGGGAATGCTCAGAGACCCACCCTCCCCACTCAACACGCAAACCCTGAGACCGCCGGGCAGGACCCGGCCCGTGCTAGGGCCTTCGCCGGGCCCGGACCTGCCCGTGCTGGGGCCTTCGCACGGCCCCGCCCATGAGGCCGTCCACAGTCTCGAACCTCCACACTGGAAGGAGCCTGGGTGTGGGCAGCACCAAGCCCAGCTGGGGTGGAGCTGGCTGGGCCCGCAGGAGCTTGGGGCTCTCTCCTCTGTCCTGTCTGCTCCTGGTGAGGGCTGCGCAGTGGTGGTGTCCCCGTGGTGGCTGACCTGCATGCTTCGCTGCTCCTGTCCTAACAGGGGGTGTCGTTTGACCAGGCCAATAACCTGCTGATAGAGCCCGCCCGCATTGAGGAGGAAGAGGTCTGTACGCTCGGGGCGCTCTGTGGGGCCAGGGCTCTCACTGACTGCTGCTTGGGCTGCGGGCTTTCACTTTCCTACCCCTTGGATGGAGCACAGATCCCTTCCAGAAAGCCCCAGAGCTGGACCTTAGCCATGCCCCCAGGGCTCGAGCCCTGGCAGCCTGTCCCGGGAAGAGTGCTGCGCAGTCTGAGGCAGCCTGGGGGCAGAATGGGCCACCCACACGAGGTGGCATCGGCATGGCCGGTCCTGCCGTTGCTGGGGCACACGGACCACCCCGATCCTCCCAGACACCGCGTCTGCTCTCTTCCAGCTGACACTAACCATCGTCCGGCAGACTGGGGGCCTGGGCATCAGCATCGCGGGGGGCAAGGGCTCAACCCCCTACAAGGGGGATGACGAGGTGAGCGGCTGCCCGCCAGCCACGGGGCCCTGCTAGCTGGAGCCCCTCGCCCTGCTGACAGCTCCTGTCACCCAGATGTGTCTGCTCACCCCACACCCGTCAGCTCCCCGTCGATGCTTGCGTGTGCTCACCCCCCAACGGGAAAACACGGGGTGTCCAGAGCGGGGGTCGCCGGGGCACCGAGGGGCCCGGGAAGGTGGGAGCCCAGGGCGTGCGTCAGCTGCTGACGCTTTTGCGTGTGTGCTCTGTCTCTGCGTTCCTTTCTCTCTCTTTCCATCTCTTCTCTTCTTTCTCTCCCCTTCTCCTATGCCTGTGGGGTCGAGCCTCCTCCAAAGCTGACTTGCACAGCTCACTGGTCTCGGGGCCCCGTGGCAACCTGAGCTCACCCCCTGCCCTAGCCCCGTCCTCCTCTTCCGCCCTTGGGGGTCAGGCCAGGGTCTACAGGGAGTGGGTTTCCCCCCTAGTGGCTTTAAGGCCTTTCGCAGCCACCGTAGGCCACTTCCCAAAGGGCCGGGACAGAGGCCTGGCACTGCGGACAGCCTCTGCTTGCCCTCAGGGTGTTTTCATCTCTCGGGTGTCTGAGGAAGGCCCCGCAGCCCGCGCTGGAGTTCGTGTAGGGGACAAACTCCTTGAGGTGAGCGCTTCTCCCTTGACGGGAAGGGCCGCTGAGGTCTCTGAGCTCCGCACAGTCCCGGATGTCGGGTCTTGGTTGCTACTCTCGGGCGGGGGGCCACACCAGCAGGTGAGGCTGAGGTGCTCACAGGCCGCAGCCCGAGACCCCCATGGGGGCATGAAGCACGCCGTGGCACCGTGGCAGGTGGGCTCCCTGTTGGGGAGCGTGGGAGACCCCGTCTGGGCAGTTGGCCCCTGAGGGGCCCGGGGGTGGGGCATAGGGGCGGGGCCCTCGGGGAATCCTCTGATGTTCATGCACCTTTCTCCGAGGGCGGGGCGGGCACTGGGTCGCCAGAGGTGTGTAGGAGTCGGGACCCCACTCCGCCGGGCTGCGAGGGCGTGTCTGCTCCCGTGGGAGCGCGCTGGCCCACGCGCCCGGCCTTGTCCCGGTCACAGGTGAACGGTGTGGCCCTGCACGAGGCCGAGCACCACGAGGCGGTGGAGGCGCTGCGGGGGGCCGGCGCGGCCGTGCAGATGCGGGTGTGGCGGGAACGGATGGTGGAGCCAGAGAACGCAGTCACCATCACGCCGCTGCGCCCCGAGGACGACTCCAGCCCTCGGGAGCGGCGGGGAGGGGGTCTGCGCCTGGCCCTGCTCCAGCCCGACACCCCGGCGCCCCTCCGCCAGCGCCACACCGCCTGCCTCGTGCGCAGTGAGAAGGGCCTGGGCTTCAGCATCGCCGGTGGGAAAGGCTCCACGCCGTACCGGGCAGGCGACGGGGTGAGCAGCGCCCGCGGTGCGGGAAGTCCTCGGTGGGCGGCCAGGCCCCTCTCCGCGGCCTCCCCCGCCCCCAGCCTCAGCCCCTGCCCCTCCCCGCAGGGCATCTTCATCTCCCGCATCGCCGAGGGGGGCGCGGCCCACAGGGCTGGCACACTGCAGGTCGGCGACCGCGTCCTGTCGGTGAGTGAGGAGGAGGCCTGCCCCACGCCTTCCGTCGCCCTGGCCGCCCCCCCTGACCCGTGCGCCCTGCAGATCAACGGAGTGGACGTGACGGACGCCAGGCACGACCACGCCGTCTCCCTGCTGACCGCCGCCTCCCCCACCATCGCCCTGCTGCTGGAGAGGGAGGCGGAGGGCCCCCTCCCTCCGAGTCCCCCCGCGCCCGCCTCCCCTGCCCTTCCCACTGCCACCTCCGCCGCCGTGAGCGCCGTCGCCCCCGCGGAGCCCAGGCTGTCCCCCAGCCTCCTGGCGGCCACCTTAGAAGGACCGTACCCCGTGGAGGTAAGCTGCTGCCCGCCGTCCGCTTGCGAGCAGTGGGCCGGGCGGGGTGCAGGCTTCGTGTGCATGCCCCAGGGGCCCGGCCTGGTCTGGGGGCCCTGGCAGATACGAGTTGTCAGTGCCCCCCTGCCTCCCTCCCCTGCTGAGGCCTGCCCTGTGTCCCCAGGAGGTCCGTGTGCCCAGGGCGGGGGGCCCGCTGGGGCTCAGCATCGTCGGTGGCTCTGACCACTCCAGCCACCCGTTCGGTATCCAGGAGCCCGGTGTGTTCATCTCCAAGGTAAGGGGGCCTGGTGGGCAGCGGCGCAGGGCTCCTGGCTGCCCGGGCGGGGTTGGCGCACCCCACCCCACGGGACCGCGCCCTTCCCAACAGGTGCTTCCTCGGGGCCTCGCGGCTCGCTGCGGCCTTCGAGTTGGGGACCGGATCCTTGCGGTGAACGGGCAGGACATCCGCGAGGCCACGCACCAGGAGGCCGTCAGTGCCCTGCTCCGGCCCTGCCTGGAGCTGTCCCTGCTGGTTCGGAGGGACCCCCCGCCCCCCGGCATGCGGGAGCTCTGTATCCAGAAGGCTCCCGGGGAGAAGCTGGGCATCAGCATCCGGGGGGGCGCCAAGGGCCACGCGGGCAACCCCTGCGACCCCACAGACGAGGGCATCTTTATCTCCAAGGTGAGACCCCTCTCCCTGCCAGTGCTGGGTGGCGCTGGGCACCGGCCCCCCGCCGGCATCTCACGGGCCCCCCGCCCGCAGGTGAGCCTCGCCGGAGCGGCCGGGCGCGATGGGCGTCTGCGCGTGGGGCTGCGTCTGCTGGAGGTGAACCAGCAGAGCCTGCTGGGTCTCACCCACGCCGAGGCCGTGCAGCTGCTGCGCAGCGCAGGCGACTCGCTCACTGTGCTCGTGTGCGACGGCTTCGACACCAACGCCGCTGCGGGCCTGGAGGTGAGTGCCGCGCACGCCGGGCTCTGGCAGGCAGCCCTCGGACGGGGCCGCCGCTGGCTGGACGGGACAGACGGACGGCCACCCGCCCGCCCCTCCAGGCGGGAGCTCCAGCACCCAGCCAGGTTGCGCTCAGGGTCTCCACTCAGGGCTTCCGGTTGCTCCCGGGCTCCGCCCGACCCCAAGGGGCATCTGGCAGCCCCTCAGCGCTCACTCCCACCGCCTCTGTCTGATCGCTGGCTTCCCCCGCTGCGCCCGGCGTCAAGCCCAGGCCCCCCGGCTTGCCTGGTCTGGGGCTGGGCTCGGGGCCGCTCTCTCCCTCTCCCGTCCTCTCCCATCAGCTGTTCCTGTGTCCCCTCCACACTGAGTCCCCATGGCCTTCACCCGCGGCGGCCGCTGCGCTTCGTGGAGGTCATCCTGGCTAGACAAGGGTCTCCGGGTGCATGCCCGTGGCCTCTGCGGTGCACACTGGGCTTGGGGACGCGAACCCACCCTGCATCGCTCTGGTAGAGTCTTTGGTGTGGTGGCTTCCCACCAGACATAGATTCCCCAGGCCAGTCCCCCCGGGGGACACAGTTGCCTTTGTCTGGACGGTGGGCTGGGGCCTGCGGGGACTGGAGTGCCTCTCCCTGGCCCTTATCCCCCAGGGCCTTGGTGGCCTAGGGACAATTTCCTTTAGGCCTTTGCTCTGGGTGGCCCTGTCCCCAGGTGGGCTTTGCTCTGGGTGGCCCTGTCCCCAGGAGGGCTTTGCTCTGGGTGGCCCTGTCCCCAGGAGGGCTTGCCTTGTGTGTGGTCAAGGTCCTGCGCTCTACCCATTACCTAGTTCAAACTTTTACTTCAAAGAACTTTTCTCGGGGAAGGGTACAAGCGTCCACCAGCAGGGGGCGCTGGAATGACCCACGCTCACATCCAGCCCGGCCCCCCTGGCTGTGCATCTGGTCCCTGCCTGGAGAAGCAGATGTCTTGGCAGTGCCCAGCTGATCCACAAGTCTGCCCTTGGCGGGATCTTCACAGAAGGGTCCACGCTGAGGTCTTAAAGCTCAGGCAGTGTCTGTGTCCTTGCTGCTGGGGGCCGAGTCTTCTTGCATGACCCTGGCTGCGACAGCCCCGTAGGGTGGGGTCCTGCAGTGTCCACCGCCAGATGGCATCTTTGGGGTCATGAAAATCCCCACTTTCTACGAATTGAGTTCCCACACTTCCTTTAGATGTGCTGGTCTCTGCTCTGTGTCTCCCTTCTGATGCCTTCAGCAGCCTTATCCGTTCTGGTTTCTTTCCGTGCTTGCTGTACCTTTAAAACACAGCTCTGCCGTCTGCCCGGAGCTGCTGTGTGAGTGGAAGCAGTGTGTCCTCCGGTCACTCGGCTGAGTGGGCGAGGCAATGGGCCTGGGCCGCGTTGGCCGCAGGGAGCTGCCCCAGACACTGCTGCCGGCTCCAGGTCGGAGCCTCACACCGCTGGGCCGCTCCAGTTTGCTCTTTTGTGTTTCTTCTTTTGAACAAATGTGCCAGGTTCCAAAATAGACATTGAATGAGGCCTGGCATCATCTTTTTGGTACATTTTCTCAAGTACATGCCCAGTTGCCCCTTCACTAGTTTTGGAAAACGCTTGTCGCCGGCCTGGCTGTTTTTGGGCGGGGGTTTGCCCCCCGCCAGGACGGTGCCTCCCGTGCGTGTCCTCGCGCGCCTGCCCTGCCCGTGCACGGGGCCCCGGCACCAGTAGTGGCAATGACCTCGCCTCGCGTTGACACTTGCAATGTTTGACCCCAGCACGATTGCTTTAGCGCTTTTGTACATGGCAGGGCTGGGGTTGCACGTAGAACTGGGGTTTGAACTCGGGGCCCCGCACTTGCTGGGCAGCTGCTTTGGCATTTCCACTCAGACACACCTCTAGCTCTTAATTCAGATATGATCTCGAGTTTGTGTAGATCTTTGCCTAGGTCTGGCCTCGGGTCCTAGGCAAACTGATGATCCTATTGTGCCATCTGTGTAGCTGGTGGCAGGCATCTGACACCAGGCCAGCTTACTGAGATGGATGCTAACTTTCCCAGGCTGGCTTTGAACCCAGCCCTCTTGATTCTACCTCGAAAGTAGCGTGGGTGATGGGCAGCATGCACCATTGTACCTGGCCCTTAAAACTTTTTTTTTTTTTTTTCCCAGTCCTGGGTCTTAAACTCAGGATCTGGGCAGTGTCCCTGAGCTTTCTTTGCTCAAGACTAGCACTTAATCGCTTTGAGCCACAGCCCTGCTGCTGGTGTTGTACTTGAGGGGCTGTTCTCCTTCCAGCTGCAAGCTGCAGTCTGCTGCACTGCGGTGTTTTCCCTGGGGGTTACACCTGCCCTGAGGACCGTCCGCGCGCTCGTGGCTGAGGAGCCGTCTGCGTTCGTGGCTGGGGCCGCTGTCGGGTGTGACCTGGGAGAGCTGCTGCGACTCCCGCTCCCCCAGGCCGCTCTCCTCTAACTTGCCTTGCGTTTGTTAGGTACTTACCACTTGAGTCACACCCAGTAACCGTGGGGAGTGAAGGGCTCTGAGCCTGCTGACGTGTGCTGTCTGGTTTTTACTGCTGCTTACGTTTGTCCTGCCTGAGTGGCCCCCACACCTGGCGCTCAGGGCCGCAGTGCTGTGGTGTGGACTGGTCCTGCCCGGCTGTGGGGAGCAGGTAGGCCTAGCATGCCCTGCAGGCCGTCAATGGATATGGGTTCTTTTTTTTTTTTTTTTTGGTCTGTCGTGGGGCTTGAACTCTGGGCCTAGGCACTGACCCTCAGCTCTCAGCTCAAGATGAGCGCTCTACCACTTGAGCCACAGCGCCACTTCCGGTTTTCTGAGTGGTTTATTGGAGATTAGAGTCTCAGAGTTTCCTGCCTGGGCTGGCTTTGATCCGCGATCCTCAGATCTCAGCCTCCTGAGTGGCTAGGATGACAGGCGTGAGCCACCAGCGCCCAGCTTGGATCTGGGTTCTTGATGCCAGGAGGACTTGGTCTGACCAGGGGGACACAGATGCGTGGTGAACCCCGCAGACACATCATGAACCCCTGCTGAGCCAGGGCTGGGCCTGACTTCCGCAGAAGGCTGAGCCTGCGGGCGGGGCCCACAGTGGAAGCCCCCCCTGCAGCTCTCCTCTGTCAGCAGTGCCCCTGGCCCGGGAGTGCGCCCTGACGCCCCGGCACCGCTGCGGCACCACTGGTGCCATCTGCGCCCATGCTAGCCAGGACTCTGGTTTCCCGGGCCTCCGGTCGCTGCTGGGGGCTTGGCTTGGCCCGGGTCCTCACCCAGCCCCTTTGGAGGCCGCCTCACCCGCCTGCCCTGCGGTCACTGTGGCTGGGTGCGGGCGGCGATGTCTGAGCTGCGGGTCCCAGCAGGTGCAAGGCTCCAGGAAGCCTGAGGCCACCCAGCCCTGCCCCCTTCCCTCAGCCTGGCCGCTGCCCTTCCTGCCCTTCCCGCTCCAGTGGCTGCCCTTCCCCCACCTGCCCGTGCCTTTTTCACAGTTGTTCTAAAGGGTGAGAGGAAGGTGGAGCTGACAGTGTTGTCAGAATCTGAGCAGAATAGTTACCTTTCCGTGGTCGTGCTGCCCTTGCCCAGCACCATTCTTGGCGTCCATGCGTTGGCCTGTTAACTGCGTGCGTGCTGAGTGCGGCCCGGGCCCTGCCCTGCCCAAGCCGCCGCTGCGGCTATCCCTTCCAGCCCATCTTCCTAGGTCTCAGCAACTGCTCCTCCTTTCCTTGTCCCCTGGAACCCCCATTATTGCAGTGGTTTAAAACAGTGGCTCACGCCTCCGCGGGCCTCTTCCTAGGCCTCCCTGGCAAGGCCACAGGAGGTCTGTGTGCCTGGGAAACTTCATCTCAAGCACACCTGTGCCGGGCACACCCTCCCGGCCGCCCTCACCCCTGTCCCGATGCCCCAGCTTGGGTCTGAGCTTCAGAATGGACCAGGCCTTCCCGGCATGGTGCCTGGTTCTGAGTCCCCTTCCCAGGCCTGGCCCGCCTCACTGGCCAACTTCCTCCCCAGGTGACTGCGGTCAGCCCGTTCGGCTCCCACGCCAAGCAGAGTGGCCAGGGCACCGAGCACACTAGCACGGACGCGGCCGGGCGGCCCGCGGGGGCCCCCCGAGGCTCCCTCGGGTGTGTGCTGGCCAGCCTGGCAGGAAGTGGTCCCATGTCCCTGTGTGTCGTGGGCTGGGCCCAGGCCCGCAGTGCCACCCAGCCCCGCCTCTCCCACAGGTGTCCCCAGGGGTCATTGCCAACCCCTTCGCCGCGGGCATCGGGCACAGGAACAGCCTGGAAAGCATCTCCTCCGTTGACCGGGAGCTGAGCCCCGAGGGCTCAGGCAAGGTAAGGCTTGTGGCGGCTGGTACTGAGGTTGGGGCCCTGGTGCCAGCCTTGACCACATCTGCCATGCCCGCAGGAGGAGCTGCCCGCCCCAGCGCCTCCCTGGGGGCCTGGGCCTACGGAGGCCGCGGTGAGTCTCCCTTCGGCCCGCCACGGAGCCCTGAGTGGCTGTGCCCTGACCCCACAGCTCTGCTAGCCCTGTGTCCGCTCTCCACAGGCCCCGAGTCTGGAGCCCCTAAAGCTGGACTACCGGTCCCTGGCCGCGGTGCCCGGCGCCGGCAGCACGCACAGGGTGAGGGGTGTGGGGCGTGGAGACCCCTTGAGACCTAACCTCTCCTCCTGCCTTTCCTGGAGTCGCTGGGCGGTGGTGGACTGGGGGAGCCCGAGCCCAGCTCGCTGGGGGCAGCGGGGCTGCCGGGACCCCAGCGCCGTCTGGGCTTGTGGAGGGTCGGGATGCACAGCCGTCACGGGTGGGCGTGGGAGGCCTGACCATGGGGAAGGAGGGGCTTCGGTAAGGGGCGCCGTCCAGAGCCGGGAGCCGGGGAGGCCCCTCCCACAGGGAGGCCGAGGGAGCGGCCCGCGGAGGACCCGCCTGGCCAGGTGCTTCTGTGGCTGAGGAGCCAAGGGTGGAGGGAGCACTTCCAGGGTCCTCAGGAGAAGGTGCAGCTCCCTGCTTCGTGGGCTGGTGCTGCCCAGGCCCCATCGCTGCCCCGCCCTGGTCTGTCCCTGTCCCCAGCTCTAGCAGAGCTTAGGGCTGTGAACAGACGCCTCGCTTCCCAGCTGAGGCTCCAGTAGAGCAGAAGGCTGCGTGCCCCCCAGCCCGAGGGGGAGGCCGCTGTGGAGGCTGCCCGGGCACCTTCGCTGCAGGGGGTGCAGGCACCGGGCCCAGACCCCCTCCCCAGCTCTCCCCCACCCACTCCCTTCCCTCAGGCGCCACCAGGAACACCTGGAGGAAAGGTGGCAGGCGCTCCCTGCTCCCCAGGCAGCCTGCAGGTGAGTGTCTGCCTCAGGCCCCGGGGCGCCATGCTGAGGGCCGCCTCCTTCCCAGGCCCGCTGGCTGCCCTCCCTGCTCATGCGCTCAGGCTGGGCCCAGCCGGAGAGCTCAGCTGCCCCCCCCCCCCCCCCGCCCGGCTATGCGGACCGTCCGGTCGCAAGCACCCGCCACGCACTGCAGGGCCTCCCGGCCCCTCTGAAGCGGTCCTCCCATCGCTGCTACCAGCTTGGCCTCATCTCTGTCTTTCTCTCTTCCTTCCATTCCTGCTGCCACTGGCCCCGCCCCTGCCCTGTGCAGACCAAACCAGGGGTGATCCAGCCATTGGCTCAGGCCTGGCCCAGGGGCTCCCTGGCCCCCAGGGACAGAGGTGGCCCCTGCTCTGTGAGTGGCCTGTCCCACGGGGTGGGGATGGCAGCATGTCCTTCCTGGGTGGGGTGGGGGTGGGGGACCGCTGTGCTAGCCCCGCTCACGGGTACTCTGTCCCCAGCCGCCCTCCCCGGACGAGCTGCCCGCCAACGTGAAGCAGGCCTACAGGGCCTTTGCCGCCGTGCCCGCTGCACACCCCCCCGAGGACTGCAGCGGTCAGGTAAGGCCATCCAGGGGCGGGGCTGCCCGGGAGGGGGGG